CCCATTATCTATCCCAGGTAGGCATGTGTCCCACTTTCCTTCAGACTGGTTCGGTCATTGCTGCACAGCCCTAGCAAGATGGGAACCCATCAGTCTTACATAAAGATAAAACAAAACACTAACTTCTCTGCTTTCAAATAGAAAAATGAACAAACCTCATATAAAAGATCACATATAAAAATGATCAATATAAGGTGAAACATATGAGAATAGGAAGTAGAGGCTGGAACTTAACAACTCTGTCCTTCCCTATGCTCACCTGGTGTCCCCACCATTTTCTTCTCTGAGATGACTCATTTCAGCTCTCTTTTTTTCTGATGATGGAACTGAAGGCCAAGGAGGGAATATGAATGTCAGAAAGAGGCACCGCTTCTTAGACAGACAGAATGTGGCAGAGACAGACCGCCCTGTGAGTCTTGAATACTCTTTATATTTGATCAAAAGTAGTTTGAATTTCTGCATCATCCCAGTAGATGCCCACTGGTTCTTTTGTTTATTTATTTATTTTGGTGTGTGCATGTGTGTGAAAATGCATGCATATGTGCACATGGGGAAGTGCATGCTGTTTCTGTATGTGTTTTCTGAGCACATGTAGAAATTAAAGAACAACTTATAGGAGTTTGTTCTGTCCTTTCACCATGTGGGTCTTGGAGACCAGATTCAGGTTTTCAGGCTCACCAGCCGATGCTGTTCCCTGCTGACCCACCTCTTCAGCCCCCTCTCTGATTTTACACTCCTTTACACATTCTTTTTAAAAGTCAGTGCCAGTGATTTGAGGCAAATAAAGAAATAGTTCTGAACTTCCCACAAAGAAAACACGCATTCATCCTTAGATGAATTTGGCAACCTCTGCTACTCTATTGCAACATTCTTGGCTTCATTCCATTGCTGCAAAATATGTGCTGGGCGTGGAAGACTTTTCAGATTCTCCCTATTTTAAGAAAGTTTGTTATGTGATTGCAACACTGTTTTGAATGTGGGACGATGCGCTAGGCAAGCACTCTGCCCCTGAGATCTCTTTCTAGCTAAAACCCTGTTTTAAGAAGGGAGGACCTGATGTAGGCCCAGTCAGATGGTCAACTTCTGAATATGCCAAAGAGGAGGGAAATATGTCCACACATATACAGGTTTTGCCTCTTTTAGTTAAAAAATTCTGGGCAAAAACATGAACCTCTTCTGAATTATGTTTCCTTACCCTTAAAACATAATAATGAACTGAAACTCCCACAAAGATGAAAAGAAATGAAATATACAAAGTGGATGACCATGGTCTGAGCAGTAAAGAGGGTTTTTAGGTGGTAATAGATCCCCTTTCCTCCAGACACAGGGCAGATAGTGTTTAGAGATGGGATTTTAACATCACTTTCCATGGTTTAGTCATTATCTTTAATAGTTTTTCCCCCTTATGTCTTTGAATTTTGCACTTGTCTTTCTCAGTTGTGAAACACAGACAATAGGTAAGTTGAGAGAATTCTTTGTTTTTTTTCTCTTTTTATTTTATTTAAATATTTTTCATTTTATATACCAACCACAGTTCCCCCTCCCTTCTGTTCTCCCACTTTCCTCACTCCCCCACTTCCCACCCCTTCCTCAGAGTGGTAAGGCCTCTCCTGGGCAGCCAACAAACTCTGGAATACCAAGTTGAGGCAAGACCAAGACTCTCCCCCACCCCGCATCAAGGCCGAGCAAGGTATCCAACCACAGGGAATGGCCTCCATTAAAAGCCTGTTCATGCATCAATGATAATTCCAGGTCCCACTATCAGGGGCCCCACAAACAGATCAAGTCAAATAACTATCCTTCACATTCAGAGGGCTCTGCTCAGTCCCATGCAGGTTCCCTCCCCAGCTGTCAGTCCAGCCCATGAGCTCCTACTAGCTTGGATCAATTATCTCTGTGATTTTCCCCATCATGACCTTGACCCCCTCCTTCATATTGTCCTTCCTCCCACTCTTCACCTGACTCCAGGAGCTCAGCACAGTGCCTACAAACCTTGAGCTAGGGAAATTCTCAGGAATCCATAAGGATGACCCTAGCTAAGACGCCTAGCAATAGCACAGAGGGTGTTTAACTGGCCTTCCGCTGTAATCAGATTGGTGACTAATCCAATTGTCATCATAGAATTTTCATCCAGTAACTAATAGAAGCATATGCAGAGAGAACTCTTGTGTTAAAGTATTTTATAAGTGGAAAAGTATATATCCATATGCGAAAGACACTACTTTAAACTTTTTCCATATAAATTCCATAAAGGGGATTCTTGCCTAATTTACATATATCTCACATTTATCATGTAAATGGCAGCCAAACTCATAGTGATTCAAATTGATCTTTTCCCTTGGACCAAGGTGTTTAGTGAAACCCTAGGCATTCTTGTCATTCTTCTTACCTATGCAAAGTAGGTACCATAACTTTTTTTTCTTTTTACTTTTTGTCTTAATTACAGTTATCTCAACCTGTCTTTGTTGAAAAGTATTTGTGAAGACAAAAAAATACGTCCCGACCAGCACACTCCTTGGTGATACCCAAAGGATGTGTTGAGCATCTCTTGGATCAGATTAATTCATCATTAAGGTCTATGCTCAGTGATGAGTATGAAGAACTTGCAGTCTTAGTATAGAGTCTTCAGTAGTCATCTCACAACTCAGGAAATAGACACTCATCACTGATTGCTAGAGCAGGACACAATGTCATCACGCTACTATGAGCACAATCATAACAGTAAATAATATGCCTATTTTATTTTTAATAATCAAGTAATCTACAGAAGGTAATATGAATGAGGGTTTCTCCCAAACCAAGTTTCTCCTTCTCTGTGCTTTTACATACACTATACTCATAAAAAATTTAAATTTAATAGTGTTTCTTAGAACTCTTCAGTGTTTTCTTTAGTGAAAGCAAATTAATGTAAGTATTTCTATACATCCTGGAAGATTTATATATCATTTCAGGAAGGGCATTCTCATTTTGATAAAAAAAACTCCTTTGTCTTGTTTGGTTGTTTTATTTAACCAGTTCCCTATTGTGGATCCCTTGAATTGCTTCTGGTCTTTACAATTATAAATAAGACTAAAGGAAAATACAAGATGACATCCTAGAAATAGGATAACCTGGTTTAATAAAAATAACTATGAAGTTTACATAAGTATTGTTAACATTCCATTCAAAGTATGATATATTATATTCTTACACTAATACACGAAGAACACCTGTTTGATTACCACCTTTCAAATCAAGTATGTCTGTGAACTTCTAGGTCTTTGTCAATGTAAAAACATGAGAAGAATACCAGAATATTGCTCCAGATTGAACACACCTTATTTTGAGTTGGCTAATATCTATTCACATGTTTCATATTTTGTTTTTTTCAGTTTCTATTTAAAGTTTATTTCTCACATTACAAATTAAACTTCATGAGAAAAGAAATACCATCCTCTATACTATCTTTACACTAGCATAAAATACGGAAAACAAAAAGTGGTCCATTCGATGAATGAGTACTTCTTGTCACAGTGGTTTAGCTGCATATGATATCACTTTGAACTTTGGTTCATATTTTTTTCCTTAGGAAACAATATTATGAACAAATATGCCAATAAAAGGGATAGTTAGATTAAAAAATTACAACCACTTTAACATTTTTTTACACAACTATTTATCTCTTCCTTTGAAATCATTTCCCACAGCCTTAGTTTTGACTGTCTCTTACTGGAATATGAATTTACTGCTGAAGGCATCAGTCCTGTGTGCAAGATGAAGAGTAATTATCTGAGAAATAGAACTGGCATGTTTCACTTCTCTCTGCCCAACTCGTTGCCCCAGAGGGACTTTCACTAAGAGCTCATGACACTGACAGTTCCAGGGAACACCCACAAGGAGCCTCTGGGAAAATGGACTTTCTAGGAGCACTGGATATAAGTAGATAGCAACAGAATTTGCTCTGAGGAGGAAGCTACAGTTTCTAAAGCCATCAAGGGATCAGGTAACAGGTGAAGGTGATAAAGCAGGTATGTGATTATCAAAAGAGAATTAGGCAAGAGCTTTGATCCTCTCAGGGTGTGGCCAGAAAACTCAAGCAAAATTAGACTTGATGCCCACAAAACTCACAATCATTTTCCAATAACATCGGGAAATCAAAACATATATGAGTTTCAGGAACGAACTGCCAAGTGTTTCTATTCTTTCTTTTAGGGAAGAGGAAGTTGGTTAAGTGAAAAATCCCCAGTTTAGACTGTGCAGCTGGGGTGTGTCAGAGCAAGGGGATGCAGTCAGTCTCTGGCTGATGCAGTCTCTTCCCTGCCTAGGAATTCTGACTCACGCCTTTCTTCTTTGATAATTCCTGTTGCCTGTCACTCAGAAAAACCCACTTTTAAAAGCTGCAGTATGAGTGTTGAATGCATAATCATTACACAGAATGGGCCTGATATTTTAGAGAGCACTTTTGGAGTGTCAGCCCCATTTTCATGCCCAGATCACCTAATCCTTCCCTCCCAAAACAGTCGATGAAGTGTAAGATTTCCTGAGAGAGGTCACAACCTTTAAGTGGCAATCCCTGACAACAGCACAATACCTCTGGTTATTTTATCATTGTAAACTAGCTGCACAGAGTCCTCAGAAAAGATAAAGCTCATAAGAAGGATTACAATAGAAAAGGTCCTTCTCCCCTTTTATTGGCTAGGGAGAATTGAGTTGCTGGATTTTCAAGAGTTTAGTACTAGAACATACACAAAGATTAAACAGGGTCAGGAGTTGTCATTTCTAGTCCAAGCCCAGCCATCTAGTGATGTTGGGTCATTCAGCCAATCATTTTGTCTTGGACAGGAGGTAGGGAAGGGGAGGTGCAGTTTCAGTATGAAAACATAAGGGATTTAGTTAGACAATCTTCAAACTCAGCTGTGTGCTCACAGTTGCTGTTCCTGGCTCTAGGAATATTGCATGAAGAGATGGAGGATGCTGAAGTAGTTCCTCTTGCATCTTAACTCCCCCTCCTCCTTGGAATCATGGACCGTGCTAACCACACCTGGACCCACACCTTCATCCTTGCTGGTTTCAGCCCCACTGGCACTCTGCGACCTCTTACCTTCATGGGGATCCTGTGCATCTATCTCCTCACACTTGCAGGGAACTTGTTCATCATTGTCCTTGTTCAAGCAGATTCGGGGCTGTCCACTCCCATGTACTTCTTTATCAGTGTCCTCTCCTTCCTGGAACTCTGGTATGTCAGCACCACAGTGCCCACCTTGCTACATACCCTGCTCCACGGACGTTCACCCATCCCTTCGACTGCATGCTTTGTCCAGCTGTATGTGTTCCATTCCTTGGGCATGACTGAGTGCTACCTGTTAGGTGTCATGGCTCTGGACCGCTACCTGGCCATTTGTCGTCCGCTCCACTACCATGCACTCATGAGTAGACAGGTGCAGCTGTGGCTAGCAGGGGCCACTTGGGTGGCTGGCTTCTCAGCTGCCCTGGTGCCTGCTGGTCTCACTGCCACTTTACCTTACTGTTTGAAAGAGGTGGCCCATTACTTCTGTGACTTGGCACCACTAATGCGGTTGGCATGTATGGACACAAGCTGGCACGCTCAGGTTCACGGGGCGGTTATTGGTGTGGCCACTGGATGCAATTTTGTCCTCATCTTGGGACTCTACGGGGGTATTCTGAAAGCTGTGCTGAAGCTGCCTTCAGCTGCCAGCCGAGCCAAAGCCTTCTCTACTTGTTCGTCCCACATGACAGTCGTGGCGCTGTTCTATGCTTCTGCTTTTACTGTATACGTGGGCTCGCCTCAGAACAGACCCGAGGGCACCGACAAGCTTATCGCCTTAGTGTATGCCCTTCTGACTCCATTCCTCAACCCCATCATCTATTCCCTTCGCAACAAGGAAGTGAAGGAGGCTGTGAAAAGGGTCAGTGACAAGATCAGGACTATGTTGAGGGAAGCCTAATTATCTCTTTCGGCGTTACGCACATCCTGGGCAAAAGTAAGAATCAACTGGTAAAAAAAAAAAAAAAGAATCAACTGGTTTGCTAATCATTTTGCAGAATCAGAATCAATGCCAATAAGATTATCACATCACTCAGTTTAGTACTCACTGTACTGCACAGACCCACTCTTTCTTGACCTATCAGAGATGAAATAGGTCAAGGGAAAGGAGTTTTATCTTAATCCTTTCTGATCTGATGGTTTCTTCACCTATCAGATGCTACAGTGGATTAAAAACTTGCATAGAGGAACTATTTTTTTATTTTATTTATTTATTAAAAATTTCCACCTCTTCCCCTTCACCCATTTCCCTCCCACTCTCCCCCATTCCCACTCCCTTTCCAGTCCTAAGAGAAGCCAGGGTGCCCTGCCCTGTGGGAAGTCCAAGGTCCTCCTTCTCCATCCAGGCCTAGGAAGCTTTGCATCCAAACAGTCCAGGTTTGGTCCCAAAAAGCTAGTACATGCAGTAGAATCAAAACTCAGTGCCATTGCCATTGACTTCTCAGTCAGCTCTCATTGTCAGCCACATTCAGAGAGTCCAGTCTGATCACATGCTCATTCAGTCCCTGTCCAGCTGGCCTTGGTGAGCTCCCATTAGATCAATCACACCGTTTCAGTGGATGGGTGCACCCCTCGCGGTCCTGACTTCCTTGCTCATGTTCTCCCTCCTTCTGCTCTTCATCTGGACCTTGGGAGCTCAGTCCAGTGCTCCAATGTGAGTCTCTGTTATAGAGAAACTATTTTAATTGAATTTATGACTTTGATTTTTTGTATTGGGACAAGATAAAAGAATGAAAAAAGTGAAACGCGTTCACCCGGTGCCTAGCTTTGGTTCTGTCATTCTCATATCCAGACAACCCCAAAGTGTGTGGCTGATGACTCAGAATTCACCAGTCTCTCCAGGATAGTGGGTGAAGTCAGCAGGCATGACAACAGGGAAATAAGGCCAACTAAGGCCTGCAGCAGCTGGTTTATAAGACACGTGATCCCAACAGAGTTTTAAAGGGAGAAAACAAGGGTGACGGAAACAGTACCATGGACAGCATGAGTGGTGATTCATGTGGAGCAGGGAGCTCCACTGATCGAGTCCAGTAATCTTGAGTCACGGTCCCAGGGCCACCTCAGCAGGATTTAACTTTCAGGGAGTGGCTGAAGACTAGAACTGTTCACCTAGTTCCCTTTGGCTCAAGAGCAGCAGAGTTGAGCATGTTGTCTGAGCTCTCCTTCAGTGCCATAGATATTATCTTAGAGTGAATTTGAAGTCGTCTTTGTAGGAGGAGTAGAAAAAAAAATGACGGGTGTTACAGGAAAGGCGTGCCTGTAAACAACAGAAAGGGAAACGCTGCACAAAGCTGTGGAGTCAGCCCTACCCTCTGTTTTAAGCTTGACAATACTGCTCCCTTCTGCCTCTGCACTTTAGAGATCTGTGAATCCTGAGCCACCAGCCACCCACATAGGGGTGGTCTGGATATTAGAATGACGGAACTAAAGCCTTGGCAAGGACTGGGGATGGTGTGAATATGTCTCATCTTTCTCATTCTTACATGTGTCCCACTACAAAACTGAACGCAATGATTTTTTAATACTCTCCACATCAGGATTGGTGGTTATTACGTCCATATATACACAGGTGTGTGAGTGTGTGTGTATGTGTATGAGTTGAGTTGAACCTGTATCCCAGCTTGGCTTGGGAGTCACTGTATACTCCAGACAGGCCTTAAACTCACACAGCTGTGCAATCATGTCTAGCCTAAAATACTCTACAAAGCCTTTGTCTTATCCCACTGACTAAGGATTATTGTTTCACTATTGGCACAACTAAGTTAGAAGGATTTCTGGAATTGCCATCAAGAGCCAGACTCAACAAGCTGTCATCCAGATGTCTAGTCGACCCTGGCAGAGTCACCTCGGCCTCATCTCTGTGTGAAATCTCAGTGGCTGGCAGGGATAGCTGTTCACATTCCTTCCAGCTGAGGGAGTTTCGATTCTGGGATTGCAGCACTTTGAAAAGCATCATGATCCAGACCTGGCAGAGAATATTCTGATTATCCCGAAGAAAGGAAATTTATTGGTCAAATTCCCACAGGTTTTTTTTTCTACTTATTGGGGAAAAATATTTGTTTTCTGGTTTCTCTTTGTCTTAAAATGCCTGTAACAGAATATTCTAAAATTCCAATGATTAATAAATGTTCGAATTGACCTTGTTACCTCACAGTGTTAAATAGAAAAGAGGTTAAGATTTCCTGCATTGGTTCAAATGTTAATCTCATATTCACTTGCTTTGTGAGCTTAGGCGACATATTGCAAATCTCCACCTCAAGTTGCTTAATCTGTAAAATGGGTGCAGTAATAGGAATCTTAGAAACTATATAAATGCTATAGTTTTACATTTCCCACATCCAGTGACTGCTTATCTGTACACTAATCTCTCCTTTGTGGGGTATTATGCAGCCTAGTTGAGGCATTCCAATTCAGTGTCTCCTCTTGAGCTGTGCTTCATGTCCTCCTTGTTTAACTGGAAGATTCAGACAGGATCATTAACCCTATGTTCTTCAGTGCTGGGCACAGCACTCCATTCTTTCACTATTATTTGAGACCCCCATCCTTTGTCTCCTATGCCTCTAACTTCACATAGGCTACTGATTATGATTTCAAAAGAATTGTTTTCTGTGTTGTTAGCACTAAAGAACTTCCGGGAGCTGTTTGTCCTGGTAGTGACTTGCATCACTGTAGTTAAGTCTTTGGGCTTCCATTTCTATGAGGTTCATGTTCTATGGTAGGATAGGATGCTTACGTATCAGCTGTGGAGCTAGAACTAGTCATATCACAACTGAGGAAAGAAAGAAATAGCATACCATGGATATTTATTCATTTTTTTGAGAAGAATAAATATGTGAACAAATAAACAGACTTTTAAAAAAGTCAAATAACTGTGGCAAAAATTATATTACTATCCTTTAACTCTATCAGGATAAAATGCCTTTCATAAATCCATTCATAAGGCTCTAAGCTACCTTTGCCTTTTGTTGTGCAATTGTTTTATCTCCTAACCATCTTGGGGTCTTTCTCTTTATAACATAAGTTGAGGCTATCATCACACAGTGCTTTTCAAAATATGCAAACAGCATTTATATACTTCGTGTATAATGTTATTGGATCTTCAACCCTCTACATGCCCTTTGAGTGGCCAGACAATATCAGGGATCTGGAATCTCTCAGGCTGTCTCTGGCAGGAAGTATTGTATATTTCATTTTGTACAACAAATAGCATCCCGTTTTACAAGTGCCTAATGCGATGTATGGAGTTAAATATTCATGCCAGCTCATAGCCACCTTGCCAATGTGAATAACGACTCTAGTTGAACAGACAGGATGAAAAGGTCGGGACTAAAAATGAACACACCAATTGCAGTATGCTTGCGGGAAGACCAGCATTCCTCATGCAGGATATTTGTACTTTGTCTTAACTTTAGTACATTAGGTAGCAAAGAAAGGTAAAATTAGTAAGAACCCTGTTCACTGAATGCAAGCCTGCCAAGTTATTTTTCAGAATGACCCATGATATCATTTTCCTATGTATCAGGTACATTTTAGCTGCATCTGATAGTATTTTTGTAACCTATAGGGTGCAATTTTAAAATAATGTATTATTTATAAATACAGCATGATAAATTTTTAGAGGAAGAGAAACTTACAATCACGTAAATTAGTGATGTTTCCTCATCTTCCTTAGCTGCTTGCAAGTTTCCGACAAATGATTTTGGTTTCATTCACCCTCCCCCCATCCTCCCAGTTCTACTCTACTTCCCTACACAATTCAACTTTGCCTCATCTTTATCCCTTTTTAAAAAAAAATTTAAACCCTTAAAGTTCTGTTTGTGATGCCCATACATCCTTGGGTATGTGGCCTTCCACTGCATCTTGGTGGACCTGTGAGGGGCTGTGCTCTTAAAAAAAAGAAAAAACTGTCCTTTCCCCCTCTCCCAAAGCTACCAGTTACAAATAAACTCAGCTAAGAGTAAGTCTTGGTATTCACTTCTCCTCTCCATGCTGGGATTTGGTCTGGCATGATCTTATGCAAGTCTTATGCATGATGTCATAAGTGATGTGCGTTCATATGTGTATCTGCGCTACTATGTCCAGGAAACAGCTTGCTTTTACTCATCCACCAACTCTAGCTCTTAGTGGTTCTTTTTCTCACTCATCTTTAATGTCCCTAACCTTATAAAGCATTTATTTATTCACTTCTAATTTCTCATAGGCATGTGGTATTATTGGAAAATTTTACTAATGAGCTGATGAGTTTTGTACTTAGTATGTCCTATCTCACATAAAATTTTTACATAGATGATTTTAAAAATCATTCTTTGTTTCTGATTTCAACTTTTGGTATACATTCCTCTTCCACTTGATGCTAGATAGCATCTCCTACCTCTATGCTCAGGTATTTGACCTCTATGCTCAGGTATTTGACCTCATCTGATTAATAACCTGAGAGACTTGAGATATGGAGTGTATAATCTACTCAGTGAATACCATGCTTTCAGACTTATAAATGGATATATCACATCAAATGTAGAAATGATGTGCAGTTCTTCTCAAAGCTTGGCTAACAAACATGGGAATGCGGAAGGACAAATGTGACGTGAAGGGAAGGAGAATTTCGGAGCATTTACCTTGCTACTCTGAGTAGCCCCATTACTACTTTCAGGGTTCAGATAGACTACGGTTCCTTGTTTAGAATTATAGAAAATACAGCATTGTATTGAAGGATTGCTGCAACTTATCTATCCCAGTGAATAGTCGGGTATTTCAGAGGTAGTAAGATCTAGTAGCTGCCCATCATGGAATCTATTAGCACTTAGAAACAATGCGTGTTTTATGCTTTGGTCTCCAATGCTATGCTTCCCACAGGAAGCTTTTAAAGCCTCAGGGATTTCATGTATTTATGTCCACTTAATG